TTCACGAAAAATCGGTCATAATCAACATCCAAATAGTGATTTCGATAGCTCTCGAAACGGGCTACAAGCCTCAAAAGAAAAAAAGATTTAGCAGAAGTATTTAAATTTTTATGACCAAAATCGTTTTTCCCCAGCGGACAAAATTTTAAGGCACTTCCAATATTTGTGATTTATTTCGACGACAAAATACTTAAGACAACACTGTTGTGAATTTTTGAGATATATTTTATTTGTCTGATTGCTGACAAAAGATTTCATGGGAAAAAAATCTATTGATCCATATGTCCGGGCTCAGGTAGTGGCCTTACATGACGCCGGTCTGAACCAGGTCGACATTTCGAAACAACTCATAGTTTCCAGATGTTGTGTTCAAAATGCTATCAAGAAATATAAACAACTGGGCCGATTCGATGATTTGAAACATACTGGGCGTCCAAAAAAGCTTTCTGGTCGTGAGATTCGCCATTTAAAAAGATTGTTCAAAGGAGATTCTCGCCTTAGCGCGAGCAAAATTGCATCAGACTTGAACACCAGCTTACCAAAATCAATTACAACAAGAATAATACGAAGATATTTGAAAGATCTTGGCTTTGATTACGTGGTAAAAATAAAAAAACAGTGGTTAAGTGGCCGTCATCGACAACAACGCATTGCGTGGTGTAAGCAGTATTTGAACTGGAAAAAAGATGACTGGAGGAAAGTGATTTTTTCGGACGAATCGACTTTCTATGTATTAAAACGAAAGAACCAATGCAAAATATGGCGTTTGGACAAAGAAAAGCTTCTCCCAGAATGTCTGCAGCAAACCAATACTGGTGATGGGGGAAAAATTGGAATTTGGGGCGGTATCTCAGGTTTTGGAACAACGATTGCCAAGATTTACACAGAAAATATGAATGGTCAATTGTATTGTAACATCTTACAGACGGAACTGAAGCGTTCCATGGCGAAATTTCTGAAGAAAACTAAAATGATTTACCAACAAGATCTTGCACCATGGCATACGTCGGGCATAGTCAAAGAAAAAATCACTAAATTGAAACTAAATGTACTTGATTGGGCTCCAAAAAGTCCTGACTTGAACCCGATAGAAATGTTGTGGTCAATTGTAGACAAGAAGCTGGCATCAAAACCAATTTATTCGAGAGCGTCCCTGGTGGAACGGCTTCAAGAAGAATGGGACAACATCGATCAAAATTTGTGCATAAAATTGGTGGAATCAATGCCCGAGCGCATACAAAAATGTTTAAAAGCAAAAGGTGGACATTTCTTGTAAATAAAATTGTATTTTTCTTGATTATTTTCTAAATAAATTAGTGAAACTGAAAAATGCCTTAAAATTTTGCCCGCTGGGGAAAAACGATTTGGTCATAAAAATTTAAATACTTCTGCTAAATCTTTTTTTTCTTTTGAGGCTTGTAGCCCGTTTCGAGAGCTATCGAAATCACTATTTGGATGTTGATTATGACCGATTTTTCGTGAAGAAAATCAAAAAACTAAAAGTGCCTTAAAATTTTGTCCTCCACTTTATGTGCCTTCATTCTCACGTTCTGTTTTCTGTAGAGACATAGACCGTCATGAAGAAAAGGAACTAAAAAATGAGTAGCATGAATTTCTACTTTAATTCATAGTTGGATTGAGTTGAATTTTTTTGAAACTTGATGATATTTGATGGAATTTGTTGACGTAGAAACACACTGGTTTTTGCCCATGTATTTTTGGTTGAGTCATCATTTTGATAAAATCTATGCGCAAATGCGAAGATATATTTAATTAAGATCAAACTATGATAAGAGTAAAAATAAACCATACAACGATTAGTCATGCATTCGTTTTGATGAGGCAATAGGTTGAAAAATTTTTCATGTAGTTTTTTGACTGGTGAATAAATACAGTAAGTCAAAAGAAAAATATTTAGTACCTTTCTTGTTCAATACAATATTCGATTGTTAAAAAATAGAGAAGAAAACATAATCATCATTTAGAATACGAAAGCTAAAGCTTTTTCTGTATAAAAAGAGAAATTAGAAATGACTGAAGTCAAGCTTCCGCTTCATTTATCATCGAATTCCAATCAAGAAATCGTATGTAGTGGACTTTCAACTACTATTAAACCATACTGTAGTTATTTATCTTAAGGGTGTGGGGAGTGGACAGGGGCCATGCAAAGGAACTAAGATTCGGGGGGGGGGCGGGGGTAAAGGGGTATTTTCAATAAAGTTTAGCAGAAAACTCGAAAAAAGTACAAAAAATTTACCCTCGTTGATGGGGAAAAATTGAAAATTTTCAATTATTGTGGGTTTACAGTCCCCACTACCACCCACCCCCACGCTTCCGCGGCTCCTGGGTGTGAGGTTCTGCTATACCTGACGTTGCTATTTTCCGATTTTCCCACACCAATCCACACCCACACCCCATAGAGTAGAACTTGAATAGTTGAAGAAAGAATATCAATACGCTCGAGCGATGAACGAAAGATATTGAAAGAATGAACATAGATATATCTCAGTGAAGAGAGATACGAAGAAGAATGTGAAGAAGATCGAAGAAAAAAGACAATAATAATGAGAATATTATATATTGAATTGACAGTATTAGGCGCAAAACAATAAGCGAAAAAGAGAGAGAAGCTAAAAAGAGAAACAAACAACTACACACAACAAGCACCAAGGTAACACCAGTGATGATTGTACCCTCACCAAGGGGGAAACGGCAGACTTTTTTACTTCAAGTACCTTGCGCTACTTTGTGCTACTTTAGGCTACTTTAGGCTACTTTGCGCTACTTTAAGCTTACTTCAAGTAGAGTACTTTGAAGTACTTTTCAACTTCAAATTCACTTGAAGTTACTTGCAATTACTTCAAGCTACTTTGAACTACTTTGGACTACTTTGAGCTACTTTGAGTTACTTTAAGCTACTTTAAGCTTACTTCAAGTAAAGTACTTTGATGTACTTTTCTACTTTAAGTCTGCCGTTTCCCCCTTGACCCTCACATCCCTTCTCCTTTAGTGTGCTGTGATCTGTTGCAGATACATAACATGCTCATATATATAACACTATTTCTAAATATGAAAGCAGAACATGATACGAATATTATCGGCATCAAAGAACATCAATTTTTGTAGCTTTATAATTAGCTATCATAAAATACATGGATATCATTAAAAATGATGAAAAAAGTAAGTATTAGGCCTGCGGCAGTTCGTGAACCGAGAACTAGAGCTAGTATGTCATCCAGTTCTTTCGAAAAGAGCTTGTCCCACTAAAAGGTTGTTTTTGTGCGAATTGCACTAATAATTGAGTAAAATCGGTCACTGACAAAATGATAATAAAGAACCTAATTGAAAACAAGCGTTTATAGAATCGAATTTTTGAGAGGAAACAAGGCAATGGTACCAGTTCTTTCAAAAAGAACTGGTTAATGAATCTAGTCCTTCGAAGGACCAGTTTATAGAACTGTGAGCTGCTACCCAGACAGACACGACCCTAAAAAAACGCGTAAAAACGCGTTAGAAATCCGTAAAAACGGTGTTTTTACGCATCCTTAAGAATAAAACGCCGTTTTCACGAACCCTTTATCCGTTTTCCACCGGATATTTATCGATGAATTTTTTCACACTAAGAAAATTTTCGTGAATTTGCGTTGCTTCACGCCATTTTACGTTGAAAAATGGGTCCAATTATGAACACGTTTTGTTGACTTAGAAGACATTTCGTTTTTCGACGTAATTCGAACAAATTCAATTCGTATTAACCCGTTCAATTATGAACACGTTTTATTGAGTTAGAAAATATTTCGTAAAATGTCAACGGAACCAGTGTTCGTTCCGTAGGCTGTCCGCAGTTTTCATAGTTTTTGCAATTAACTCTTCACCAGTTTATTATCTATGTCAAACTTTCCTATAGTTTATCGGGGTCGCTGAGTCCAAATATGCTATCAGTTTTTCCCTCTGAGCTTTCATGGCTGAGAAAATGCACCAAACAAGAGTCCGTAATTCACAAGGTAGATTTTTTATTTCAACTCCAGTCTCAATTCTGATCAAACTTTCGTATAGCTTATCGTGATCCTACACTCCAAATCCGTTATCAGTTCATACATTACCCGTTGGAGTATCTGTTCATATGTTACGCACCTGGGTATCTGTTTATACGTTACCCATTTGGGTATTTGTTTATATGTTTCCCATTTGGGTATTTGTTTATATGTTTCCCAATTGGGTATCTGTTCATACGTTATCCAACTGGGTATTTGTTTAAACGTTACGCGTTTGGGTATTTGTTTATATATCACCCACTTGGGTATCTGTTCATACCTTACCCACCTGGGTGTCTGTTTATACGTTACCCACCTGGGTATCTGCTTATACGTTACCCACATGGGTGTCTGTTTATGCATTACCCACCTGGGTATCTGTTGATACGTTACCTGTTTGGGTATTTGTTTATATGTTACCCACTTGGGTATCTGTTTATACATTACCCACTTGGCATCTGTTTATACGTTACCGGCTTGGGTATCCCCAAGTGGGTAAGGTGTAAACAAATTCCGAAACGGGTATCGTCTTAATAGATACCCAGGTTGGTAACGTATGCCAATATGTTATTCGGCGTAGAAGGGTGAACGTTGATGAAAATCGGAAAAGTGCGCATTTTGAGTCGTTAGGAATGCGTGGATTTATAAATGGTAAAAAGGTGTCGTTTTCGAACGGATGAAAACGGCTAGGTTTTGAAAGCATTAATCGGCGTAGAAAAGTTAACGTAGATAAAATCGGGAAAAGCACACATTTTCATGCGTTAAGAACGTGTTGATTTGTAAACAGTAAAAATGCGTAGATTTGCAAATGGTATATATGCGTAGATTTCTAATTGATAAATTTGCGCTGATTTTAAACGCGTTCATTATCGTAGAGAAGCTAACGGAGATAAAAATCGTGGAAATGTGCGGTTTTTATGACTTTATTTTCGTCAAAATTTCTACGGGTATTTCAGCGTTTTTTTTAATTTTGTCTGTCTGGACACAGGCCTAATAAGTACTTATTTTAACATAATTCGACTATTTTCGAAGCTCTGAAAAACTATCAATAAGTTACTCGAAATTTATACCTGTATGACGTTTAATAATCAACAAGCAAAGATCATTCGAACGACTGTCTATCATATATTTGCGAACACAATAGAAACATGAAATGCTGATTAGGGTGTTTGACATCTATTAAGTTTAGAAATAGAAAGATGCTCTCTGTTCTTTTCAATGTTTAATTGCATACGCAGCTTCAATAATTCAAAATTTCAAGCGCGACGTTAAATCAATGGTTTCATTCATTTTGATTTGAAAAGTTTGCTCACTAACTTGAAATTCTGGATGGGGGAGGGGGGGCTGAGCCTCATCTGGCCCCACCTCAGTGATGCCACTACGCATCAAGTGTGAGCAGATGACCGATTTTAGACATTTCAGCGTCTTTCTAGCTTGTGGTTCACTGCTCTGCATCAATAATAGTAGTGTCTTACCCGTATCTGTGCCGATGTTGATAGCACGCTCCGAATATTTTGCTGCCGTCTCTCTCCTATGTAGACGTGTGTGTTGTATGTAAAGTAGATACATTTTGGGCAGATGAACTAGCTAGAATAGTCATCATTACCGAGGGTGGCGATAAGCTGCTTTATTCAGTTTGTTGTTACAGTATCTAACTAGAGACGCTTCGGTCGATCAACGTGTTACTAATTTCAGAAATAATTGCGCTTCGATATGAATTGTGAAATTAAAAAAATATTTTTCATAACATAATTCAAAATTCATTCCATCAATTGTTTTTCAAATTTAGTTGTACAACTTATCGAACATCGTGTAAACGATTTTAAATTTTCTTTACTAAGTGCTCAGCTGAATTTTCAAAAAAGTCGACTAGAAAAAATATAAAATTCTTTTTTGAAAATTTGTTTTTAACTTCACACTAATCATTTCAAAACGCAATTCGTTTTGGAATTAGTCACTTGTTGATCAGTCGAAGTGTCAAAGACCGATGCATCAAAGCTATATAAAAAGTTATGAGTACATGTACATATATGTTAGTGGGATCTGGAAAAAATCTGAAATAAATAAGTATTACTTATTTTAATAGTTACACGTATGTAAAGCAAAGTTCAAACTTGCTTTTCAAGCACGCACGACTAGTAAAAACTCAATATTACGTAAACATGTATAAAAACATACGTCAGTTGTAAATGAAGAAGAATGGGTAAAGTGATTATCTAAAACTACTGCTTTATACGATTTT